TGGCCAACACAATTGTTAAACATCTATGACAAATTATCTTTAACCTGTTTCATACATTACAATGTTTCACAGCTAGGATTAACATGCTTATACATTATATAAACAAAGTCAGAATGTCTTGCTCAACAGTAACAGAAATGCCTTTTGCATATAACAAGAAACAGTAGGAACACATATTTACCATTTTATAATGACAAGCTTATCAACTATCAAAGGTGCAAAAAATACCATTTTAACTGCTAAAAACCTTTCAAATAAAGAATTACATTTAAGATGCAGCAAAAGCTTAACATTAATAATGTATAATAATTTATCAGGGTATTCATTTCCTATCCTGGATTATCTGATATAGTAATACAGTTGAAACATTAGACTGTCAAGCTGCTAAGACTTCAATACAGAGTACAATGCCTGGAACCTAAAGGTTATAAATCCTGTTAAAAGAAAATCCTGTTTGCACATTCAAAAGTTGTATGAATATATTCACTCAAAACATAAACAAGTCATAAACTGGCCATTATGACAAGGACTGTCGCCTGGACTGATGGCTTCCCATATTGGTCAGCTGTGAAGAAGACTGGGGTTGGGTTAGACTCTCCATTCTGCGGAACATTCCTGGGTCTGAGATTCATGAAGCAGCCCGTCCGCTTGGAAAACTTACCCAGGGTCTGCAGTATTATGCTCTCTAGAATGACCAGGTCTTGGGCTTGTTGCAGGTAAGCCTGGGGTTGAGAGGACAGGCAGGTTACTTGTGATGAGGCACTCTGTATTAAGCCTGCATATTTCTAACACTCTCTTGAGGAGGCAAAAACATCAAGGGGGAATCTTTATTACATTTGTGCTGGAGAAAATGGGGCATAAATGTCCCATTTCCAGGGGAAAGAGCACTGAATGCACACACAAGAAAAGTCGCTGATTGCATACTGCTACTGTGGAAACTGTCTTGTAGCACATGCTCAAAATTGCCTTTTTGTTACAATTTAGCTTTAAAATAAAGCTTCCCCCTTGTTGGCAAGGTTAGATGTGCTGGTCCTGTCAGGAAGGGCTGTGGTAAGAACTGAAACAATGTGCTTAATAATCTTTTTATTTGATCAGTAAAAATAACTGGATTTCACAAATCAACTTCTATATCACCACAAGACTGTGATCCTGGCAGGCAACATCCATTCCTCAATGCAAGCTGTGCTACACACCAAGCTTTCATCAACACACTGACCAGAACACACAGGACAGACAAGCAATTTGGCTTACAAAACCGAGAGCTTTCTGTACTATGCACCAAGAGCAGTAACTCTTTTTCTGTATTCAACTGTTAAATACTCTTATTCTGAAAATTATTCAATTGTATTTCAAGGTGGCTGTAGCATTCTCAATAAAATGAAGCATGGTGGATTTGCACTGCCAGGATTTGTTCTTTCTGCGTGATTTATTGTATACAGTACATCTTTCACAGAAGTTTAACTACTTACCTCACTCCGTGTATCAGGAGCAGCTTCCAGAGGATGCAGACAGGCATGAGTAACCTTGATGACATGCTCTAATTTTCGAGGTTGCTCCTCCACCTTGGCTGCCAAGAAAAGGGCAGCTGGTGCCACAGCCTTTATAGAGAAGAAATGTATTAAATATACCATACCATCTTTCAAATAGCAAATCACACTACTCAAATGTGCAAAGGAAAAGAAACATACATGTTAGAACCGAAGGGGAAAAACTGTTTGCAAACAGCTGAATTAGGAATGTTTCATCACTTTGAATTTAAATTAGCACCTTTTTGGTCTGCAAACTTTTTTTTTCTCCTTAGAGAGTAAGTTATTAGGACAAGTTATAAAAATGCACTGTGAGCATAATTTTGTGAGCATATGTTGATTATTGAATGAGAATCACAAAATATAATCTTAAAGAAAATAAAATCTTATAAAATAATTCTTAGTAACAACATCTGCACAAATCCAGCTAAAAGTCCTAAGTCAGAATATGCAGGTTTATTACAAACTGTTTATGAGAAACCATAAACCAATCATTCTCAGTTGCAATGTTGAGAATTTAAGATGTTTCCCTCAGAAAGTAAATTTCCTTGTCAGGCATCCAATTAAAGTGTCAGTGCTCTAGCATTTTATCAGTAATGCCTGAAAGTTTGTCACATATTGTTTGCCCATTGTTATTGTTATATTCTAAAGTAGCATTGTTTATAATTGTTTCCTTGAAAGCCTCTTACTTTTTTTAAAAATAAAGAACCTCATTATCACTTGTAAGCATGTAGATCTAAGCATAACTTTGATGGAACCCATTTCTGAAGACTTCACAGAATATTTTTTTCTATTAAAGTTCTACTGCTTCCATATTATGCACACACACACACACACACACACACAATAAATCCATTCAGAACTCAGCTGAGAAACACAAACTGTTAACATACTTACATTTCGATGAAAGTGGGTAAAGGACTGAACCATGTAGAATCGATGCATATAAACAATTGCAGTATTAATAGTCAGTTGAGAACTATGGTTCATCATTAAGGAAGATGTTAAAATTTAATAGTGCACGATTCTTCTTAAGGAAAGGTTATGTGAAAGCTAAGTATTATAAAAGTTGACTTTCTTAAACTAAACCAAGAATAGAACTGATTTTTGAGTAAAAGTATACATGGATTTACACAATTAGAGAGACTCTGACTTAAGACCTAAGACCCTAAATATTTTAGCCAGTGTTACAATATTATATAAATATATAAATATAAACACTGCAAATATTTTCACATTAAGCCTGCTAAATTGTGTCTTTAAAAAGTTGAACCAAGCTTTGTATTACGGACTTCAAAATTTATTCAGCCAAAACTGTTAAAATACCAATAGGCTGGGGGGAAAAATGAGGCTCAAGAGTAAATTAATATTAGCGTTCAAATCAAACTCACGGGGGAAGGATGGCTCACTTTTTCTCCCACCTCAAAACATCACATTTCAAAATTACGTTATCTAAATAATGCAACGCGCAGACAAATGCCCGTTAGTAACGTGTTACTAACCGGTCTCTTGTGCTTTTGCAAATCAACTGAGGACCACTTCAGAGCCCATCCTTCAACCTAAACCGTAACAGCATCCCAACACCCTGCACAACATGTGCGTTTAACATTCCACAACCACCGAGCAAACCTATCTGTTTAGCACAGGGGTAGTCAACCTTGGCTCTTTTATGACTCGTGGACTTCAACTCCCAGAATTCCTGAGCCAGCCATGCTGAGGGGAAAGGGAGAGGTTTCCAAGCTGAGCCATGCTGGCTCAGGAATTCTGGGAGTTGAAGTCCACGAGTCATAAAAGAGCCAAGGTTGCCTACCCCTGGTTTAGCAGTTCCAAGTCAAGCTCCTTCGGAGACATGGCCTAAGGCGCTCCGGCCATATAAGCACTTCCCTGCCTACAGAACGACGACCGCGAGCCCCGTCTCTTTTAACACTTCGATTCCCCCCGTTCCCGGTAAGCTTCAACCTAACAGGCGCCCAAGTAGTTTACGAGAATCTCCGGCGGGCCTTGTCCTCTTTCCGTAACCCTACCCAGCCCCAATCCCTACTGAGGCGCGGCCTAGTTGCCGAAGGGATACACATTGAGGCGCTGGCCCATATCCTGAAGCAGGTTAGCTGCCTGCTGCCGGTACGATAACTCTTTGTCCGGGTCGAGTCCTAAGCGCCAGGAAGGACTCCGAGCGAGCTGCTCGCGGGTGAAATACCAGCGTCTTCCACCCCCCGCAGCCGCCGCGCTAGACACCGCCATGATGGCCGTCGTCGCCGTCGACAACAGCGCATGCGCTGGGCAAGGCACGCACACACCGGCCAGCGTTCACGTGATGGCGTCTAAATCCGCCGACGCGCGCGCACTTCCTTCCCAGCACCCAGCAGGGGGTGGAGTCTGCCTACCGAGCTTCCGGTTTGGCCTTGCCCAGTTCATTGGAAGGCGATCGGTCTTTTTTTCACCGTTGACGGCTATTGATTTGGCTCCTGGAAGGATGAGAGAGAGAGAGAGAAAAAAAAAACTAAACAAGGCTTCGTGGTTATAATATTCTTCAGCCAGTTTTTGTTTTCTGTCTCCAACTTCCCTATTCTCTATGCTTTGCTCAATATCTAGCCCCATAACATTTTCTGGATGAGCTCACTGACTTATTTTGTAACCTTTGGGCTCTTAAAAAGAATTTTTAAAACTCAATGGACATAAAAGACCCTGATTTCCGATGAGATTTGGCAGCCATTGTTGCTGTGATAGAATCAGAAGATGGCTGCGTACAGCAGAGTCCTAGATTCGAGCTGCTTTGGGCAAAGTTGGATTAGATTTTTTGGCATTTGGTAGCATTGACTTGCTCCAGAGACTCCTGCACAAACTGATTGGATTCAGCTTTCAGGTTATTGGATATTTAATAGAGTCAAATAAAGATTCCCTCAAGACCAGTGTTTCTCAACCTTGACACTCTTAAGGCATGTGGACTTCAACTCCCAGAATTCCACAGCCAGCAATGCTGGCTGTGGAATTCTGGGAGTTGAAGTCCACATGCCTTAAAATTGTCAAGGTTGAGAAACACTGCTCAAGACAGAACATGAAACGTTTGAAACTAGTTGCTACTGTCTTTTTCCAAGATGCTTAGTCTTGCCTGCAGAGTTACAATTTCCTGGTAACCTTTCTTCCAGTGACTGACCAGGCCCAACCTTGCTTCACTTTTCTGAGATCAGCCAAGGCTGGCTAGGTGTTGCCAATTGGCAAGCAAAAGAAATATGATCAACCTTAAATCAGCTGGGAGTATTTTTGTTCATCCTTTGATGTTGTATGCAAATAAGTGCAAGTTGATGACACAACAATGGGGAATGGAGTTCCAAAATACATAATTTCTTAAGTTATATCAGATTATATTGCCTTAAGGCTTAAGGCATCACGAACTGCTTACTTAGGTAATGTACTAAGTTCAGCAGTATATCACCATGGTAACAAAGCAAACATGCTTCAGATGCCAGGAAATAGAATACTGCAGTTGGATACAGTTGAATCTAAGTACTAAAACAAAGCTCAGGTAATGGCTTTCTTTGGATTAACTTTTCTAGGTCCTCAGGATCCCTTTCGTGATAAAAAACTATCATTACCAAAATATGAAGTGCCAGGTAAGGACATTATCTAAATAAAGTTAGAAAGGTTGTCTTTTTCTTTCTTAGGATTTATTAAGAGCTGTTATTCTGCATGCATACCTGTGCACCCTTCAAAAATTTAAAGCAATGTAACCATCGCTTACAAAATTACTGTATTCAGATCAGACAATGTATCATTAATTCCCAGAACCACAGTTCTGGGAGTAATCACAGTTGGTGCTATTCATCTTTCTAGGCTAGGGAGTCCGTGTTGTTAAAATGAGTTACTCACCAACATAAACTTTAAATTTGGAGCATAAGTACTGAGTATTCAATAATTTGTATGTCCATGACATGTTTTAAAAGGCGAGATTTCAACACAGAAAATATCAATCAAATTATATTGGTAAAATTGTTGTTCCTAGGCTGCAAGAAACAATTCTGAAATTCTACTATTTAATACTACATGTGCACACACACACACACACACACACACACACATTTATACATACATCTGTGCACTGAAATATTTTAGTGAACGAGAAAGTGGATGAGTTTCATTCTTCAACACAGATTTCAGTTTTTAATTATGAATACGTTGCTATTGCTAGTAACTATAGCTACCTTCCACATTTGTACTGGTGCAAAAAAGAAGGAGGGTCATTACTATTGCCCAGAGGATTATTGGCTGCCTTCTCTTCCCCCCAGACGAACTGTACAGTTCCTGTTGTCTTAGGAAAGCTCAAAATATTCTTAAAGATCCATCTCATCCCATTCTTTTTTTTGAACTATTATCATCTGGCAGACGGTACAGGAAAACAAAAACAAAGACAAATAGGTTGAAAAATAGTTTCTATCCCAGAGCTGTAACCATATTATATATCACAGTATACTGTGGTGCAACATTGAAGTGCAATATTAGGGGCAGCGCAATGGTGAATAGAATGTGAAGGATGTGTGTATATAATGTATGTTCTTATTTGTGGTTTTTATCTGTGTTTAGTGTGCACTGTGGACAGCACTTAATTTAGTTGTGAGTTATACAGTGACAATAAAGATATTCTATTCTATTCTATATATATATATATCTCAGAAAAAATTGTTAAATTTTAGATTATAAGTCTGTCAGACAAGGGGCTTTATTCAATGAAATTGATACTATATAGACCAGCAATAAAAGTGGCTAATCTATAGTGGATCATGTTAATTAACCCCCAATTTGAATATTACTATTTCATGAACATGTGGAACAGCATGACTAAATAATTATAGTTTTTAAAACCCTGCAATTGGAAGTCTAGGGGAAAGGATTTTAACCAGTATTTCCCCTCAACTCATGAGTTTGCTTCAAAATTGCAGTTGCACACAGGAGATTTTTTAGGTATATTTTCCGCTACTGCAATCTGGAATACTGCATCCAGAAACATCTGAAGAGTAAATATCTAGACTAGGCTTCAGACCAAAATATGAATATTATCTAGTACAGCTGTATTTCTGTTAAAATATATGCATTCCAAAAGTTGTTAATTGCCATAATGATACTATGGTCTTTATTTTATAATTAACATTTAAAAATGCCTTGAAAAAGTTAACTGTAATCTGAGTAGTGGTATAAACAGGTTTTCCAGACAGTCTCTTATTAATATTCTTACTTTAAGAAATGGTACAGGTAATCCCCAAGTTATGAGGGTTCACCTAGTGCCCAATTGAAGTTACGCGATAAGCGCCCCCTAGTTCTTATGAGCTAGTTCCCAAATCATGAATCATGCAGCACCACGGCCATCGTTCGACCATATGAACAACTGCAGAGCCTCTGCAACATTTACCCTATTTCCCCCCTCCCCACAACTGCTTTGCCCTTCCTTCCTACCGCTCCGGATTCACCTTGCAAAAATCCTCTCTGCCACGGTTTCTTTCCCTTTGAGGGAGAGAAGAGACAGCTTGGAAATGCTTTTTGCGCCGAGAATGGAAGTTTCTGGAGTCCATGATCTCGTGTGAGTGTTTGAAGTTGCACCAAATCACGGACTTCAGAAACTTTCATGCAAAAGGTGTTTGCAGTGCCTGTTTCCTGCTCCTGCCCCCAACTCCTCTCTGCCTTACGGCAGGCCCAAAGCCTTCAACTGAGGGAGAAGGCCAGGCTCCTCGCACCCACATCCAGCCTGCCAGAGCTCGCCGTGCCTGGGGAGGAAGTGACCCCATTGTCCCCGGAGCCTCAGAGGCCTCCTCCAAGTACTCTGGAATGGAGGCCGGGGGAGGTTTTTGGTAGGATCCAGGCCTCGGAGGCATCCTCCAGCCTGCTGCCGCCTGGAACGGAGGTTGGGGGTGGCTTCTGTTTCTGCTTCTTCTCCCCCGACCTCCGTTCCGGGCGGCAGTGACCTAGAGGAGGCCTCTGAGGCCTGGATCCAACCTCCGGAGGCACACAGAAGCCTCCCCTGGCCTCCTTTCTGGGGGCAGCAGCCGTCTGGCTCCGGAGGTGGGGGTAGTAGGAGGCAGGCACTGCAAACAGCACGAGAGTTCAGGCACCCATTTGCCGCAAAACAGGATTGGTGCCTGAACATGTGCAATATTACGGCACCCAGGAGCTTCCATTGACCAAAAGCAGAAACCGCGGTAGAGAGGAGATGTATTTTTTCAAGATGAGTCAGGTGCGGCAAGAAAAGAGGGGGAAGCATGAGGTATCTTAGTGGGTCGGGGAGACCTTGGGGGCCTGTTCCATCACTAGGCCCCCCCCCATGGCCTTCCCGACTCTGAGATATCTCGTGTGCACTTAACGAGCCACGTGCATCTTAATGAGCAGGGAGTGATCTCATTCGAGGTACGAGATTCGCTCCCATGAATTTTCGAGTTACGAATGGAATGGGCAGGCTCCATTGCATTCATAACTCGAGGACTACCTCTATTATATACTGCAACTTCAACATTGTTGAAGTATTACCATGTTTTCACGAAAATAAGACTGGGCCTAATATATTTTTGAGGGGACCAAAAGACCCATTAGATCTTATTTTCGGGAGATGTCTTATTTTGCAGCTGCCCGCCCGCTCCCTCCCACCATCTGCTTGCCCACGGCCGCAACGGCTTACAGGGCTTTCCAGGGCAGATGCACTTTTCGCCTGGATGGAGAAATGACAGAGACTGGAAACTTTGTCTACTCGCAAATGAAGCATTTTGAAATGGAGCGATTCACAAGCAGACGAAGCTTCCAGTCTCCCTCTGGGCAAAAAGTGTGCAGCGGAGCCAGACAGAGACATCGGGGGGGGGAGGCAAGCGATCCAGATGTGCTGTGTGGCTCACGGGAGGCTTGCACAGTGGCACTGGCAGCAGGCTGAGGCAGAGGCATGGTGGGAGGCAGGCGATCCCGATGCACCACCCACTCCGTCCCACCTTTTCTTGGCTTACTTGCAGCCAGGCCGGGGTCACCTGCCTCCCCCGTGCCTCTGCCTCCGCCTGCTGCCGATGCCACCATGCAAGCCTTCTGCGAGCCTCCCATGAGCCAGGTGGCTGTGCAACATGTCAGCATCACCTGCCTGCCCCCCGCCTCTGCGCTCGGACTTACCTGCACTGCGCCAAGGGGCCGGCAGGCTGCGGCTGCTGTCGGACACCATCGGTCCCCAGGCAGTCACTGCCTCTTGTGTGGCCATGCCGATCCCCCCCCCGGGCTTATTTTTGGGGTAGGACTTACATTAGACCCACCCTCCAAAATCAGGCTAGGGCTTATTTTCAGGGTGGGTCTTATTTTGGGGGAAACACGGGTATGAATAGTAAAAAAAATATATTTGTGTAACTTGCTCTGAATCTTGTCTGGGAATTGCTTTCTTACGGAGTGACATTTTTTTCTGTCCATCTCCAGTGGGAACAATCCCTCCGAAATTGGAACTTTTCTACCCAAAGCTCCCACCCATAGGACAATTTGGGTACAATGACGACACTGAATACCAGGGTAGCCATCAGAAATATCAAGAGGCTATCAAACAGAAGAGGCTCAAGAAATGTAGGTGAAGAAATACCAAGAGTCAGGTTTAAATCAAAGTTTCAGTAAATGCAGAAATGCTCACAGCAGGAACAGAGGAACCTATGATTCGTCAGAAGTTTAATCACAACTGGCATCATTTGTGATCGTGCAGCTTATTGGCCATGGGTGAAAGAACCCCATAATATCTGTAAGGCTGCTGGTTCCCTGTTCCCCCAGGGAATACACTGCAGAGGGGTAACCGTACTCACAATTGACAATATACTTCAAGTCTTTTGGGTTAAGAGCAACAGCGTGGACAGAGACAACATAGTTCAAGAGCATGCTAGGAGACAATGTGGACTGAACCAGAAGAAAACCAGATGGTCCCTGGGTTTCCTGTAGGAGAGCAAGTCCCAAAAGTCCATCTTGTAGCTCAGTCCTTCTGTATTCACTGCCAGCTATTTGTGCAGTGTGGGAAAGAGGCAAAAACCTTCACATTGACATTCACTTCCAGTTAATTGATCATTAAATAATTTAACAATCAGCTGCAATAGCCTATAAATAAGTCTTCTTTGAGCTGAGCTCAATTCCTGGTGACTTCGTGACGTATTCATAGCAGAGAAATGAAAATTGTTTGCCACCGTTTTCCTCCATACTACCCCTATTTTCTGGTAGTTTCTTATCCAAATACTAACCACCCCTGACTATTCTTAGCTTCCAAACCAGAAAAGGTTAACCAGGTGCTCTCATCTTTTAAAGCTACCCATAGATACCGGGTTGAATACTAATTTTTAGCCAGCTATTTGAAAAAAAATGAAACCATCACCATTAATACTAAAAGTATTAATGATGCCATACTAGGTCTAGCAAGTCTGGCAAAATACAGGAAAGAACAGCCCTGGATTTCCAGGGAATAAAGCAGTTAGATAAGAAACAGCAGGAGGGAGAAGGTCGCTTCAAATAGTAAAGCCATGCTTGGTCAAAGGCGGTTTTGTTTAGAGATCCTACCTTGCCTTGCGTACAGTGTTTAGGCCAGTGATGGCGAACCTTTTAGAGACCAAGTGCCCAAACTGCAACCCAAAACCCACTTATGCATCGATGGGTGCCGGGTGGGTGTGGCCCATTGGCTGGGTGTGGCCAATTGGGTGGGCGTGGCTGCAGTGGTAACGGCTGACTGGGTGGGGCTAAAAAGTTCAATCAATCAATTCCAACTTTGCAAGATCTTTTTTTTTCCGCGAGAAGTTGAAATTGACTGATTGATTGAAACTTTTTTTTTTGTACATGGCGGCGGAGGCCTAAAGCGAAAAGGTTTTATAAAACCCAGCTGAAGGCCTAGGACTGGGGCGACGGTGCGCGTGCCCACAGAGAGGGCTCTGAGTGCCACCTCTGGCACCCGTGCCATAGGTTCGCCACCGCTGGTTTAGGCCTTTTCCAAGCAATCAGAAGGCTTAATCTCTTTTGTAGACCCCAATCAAGAATACAGGGTACCACTGACTTGTGGACAAGATATTGGTTGGTGGCAGCCCAAGAATTCATCAATCAAGCCAGAAGATACATTACCTTGGATAAAGGTGCCAAGGTACCCACTGATGCGGAGTCCCATGACCAAGTAAGCATCCAGTGAACAGCAAAGAATTAATTCTTCCGTCTAGTCTAAAATGGGCACTCTAACTTCCTTCCCTTCATCTGAAACTGTTTCAGTATAATATGTGATTTAAGACTGCTTTTCACATTTTTTAGAGAAATCTAGTTAAGAGTCAAGGCCACGGTACTGGTAAGCTTAAGTTCATTAGTGAGCAGACAAGAAAGAGATAACTTGAATATATTGAGCCATGCATCTTGTTTTAATTCAATAGGAAGAAAAACTAGGTTCCCCCCCCCAATTAAATAGTTGCACAAAGATTAGAAAAATCCTCACCTCCAGACTTGGGGGGTGGGGGGTGTCATTTATGTGTGTTGTGCAGGTTTTTTTTTTAACAAGTAATATATTTCTTGGGGTAAAAAATGTATTTTTATCAGAAGCACGAAGGCCCATTTTCAGTGTTATGGTTATGTTAAGAGAGTGAATTATCAACAAAGGTAGGGTAAAAGACCAAATATGTAAGAAAGGCAAAAAAAACATATCATTTCTATTTGGGTAAAAAATACAGTTCAGACAGTGTAAGTTGTGCCAAACTGGTAATGTAGTGGCAAAGTGAAATTAACAAGTATATGTAATTAAAAGGACAATAACTTTCTGCACTGAAGTAGCAATTTCAGATTTGCCTTTAGTTTGACCGAGATGCTCAAATTAAGAGATATGTACTGAGAAGAGACCAGATTCAGACTGCTGCTTATCCTGTCACACATGCAGGAGTAACTAAATGCTTCTTGTCTATGGAGATTTTCAATCATCCAGGACCAGGTCATAGTTGTCCCAAAGGTGCTTTCTTGGTTTATTTTGGTTTTCAAGGAAAAAAACCAAGAAAGTCCACCTGTCTCTTGAAAAAGCATCTTTGGGACTAAATGCTTCTTGTGCTGCAACAAGAAGTCTTATATACAGTAGGCAATTCATTGACAGCATATCCATGAAATGCTTTTCTTAGCCTAATAGCCCTCTGACTAAATATGTTTCTCTCATCCCTATCATACTGTCCACCAGTTAAAAATGGGAAAAAGAGGAATTGTAACCGTTTATCTGTGAGCTTGTGCTTTAGAAGAGAGCTCCCCAACCGTTCCGGGTTGGCGGCCAGGAGGGAAAGGGAGGAGCAGGGAAATGTGTGCGTGCGCACGTGCGCAAGCAGGTGCACGCATGGTGGCGACACTAGAGCTGCACACATGTGCGAACAGGCCACTAGCGCCCGCGTGACGCTGGTGGCAGTGCGCACATTCGCCAACCATTCCGGTGGCCAACAGGCCCCAATACTGGGCTGTTGGAGACCTCTGAAGATACCGTAAACATTTGTTCTCAAAAGATACAGGTAGTCCTTGACCTAGGACTAATGGAGCCTGCTCATTATGGTCACCTGTTGTGATGGTTGTTAAGCAAGTTCACCTCACTAGATGACCCCTATTCTCCCTTATGTGGTCATTAAGCAGAGTGCCGCAGGAGAGGGGGAGGCCCTGGGAGGCCTAGTGCAGGAGCAGGCCTGCCTACCTCAGGCCTGCCCCACTCCTAGAGACACTCTGTGCTCCGCTTCCATCCCTCGGGGTCGCCACACCCCTACTATCCCACTCCACCAGATCCCCACAGGACTTTCCCCACCACCACCAGGTCCCTATAGGCCTTTGGCCTGTTTCCCTCTCTGCTGGGCCCCATATCTTCCTCCCCACCCACTGTCACTTTTCGTGCACTTACTTTTCAAACATGGTCCAGTGACGTTGAGGGACGGAGTAGCCTGCTTTCCTTCCCCAACGTGAGGTCCGGAGATCTTCAAAGGGTAAGTGCGTGATGGGTGACGGAAACTGGGGAGAAAGTCCAAGACCTGAGTGGACTCAGTGAGGAGAGAAAACAGGCCCAAGTTCTGCAGGGACCTAGCAGGGCACAATAGGGGGAGGAAGGTAGGCAGGGCAGATGCTGCAGCATCCTTGTAGTCTGTCATAAGGATGAAGGACCACAATGTAATTAGGATGAAGGACCACAAACAGAGGTAGGTGCCAGAGCACCCGTAACTTCAAAAAGGGGTCATAAATAGGTTCTGGGAGGAGGATCTGTCATAACTTCAAATAATAACTAAGCAAGGACTACCTGTACACAATTACAGAACAAACTTAAATTGTAGGCTAGAATAACTACATCAACTTCATGAGACTGTCCCAAAATTAAAGGGCTTCCTATCTTTTGCAGGAAAGCTGAGAGAATAACGTTGCTTTCATTCTTTTAAAAGGAAACTAGATTTCTTGCCTCTTAACTGCAAAGCTAGAACTCTCACAAAACCAACATTGCTTATATACATACTTAAAACTAGTTTAAAAGATTTATATGAGTATTTGTACTTTGGTAAACAAAGAACAATCCTGATTTAAATGTACTATATTTTGCTATTGCTTAAGGCTAATGTTGGATGATAGAACACCTCGGGTCCTGATTCCTTAAACCTACATTCACATAATCTACTTAACTAACCCATTTTCCGGGTTTAGATAAGACATCACCATAAACTGATGAAAAAGTCTGGGTTTGCACAACATGGCAAGTGACAAAAAAACCCCACCAAACTCTAGCAAAAGTTAAAATTGACCAAATTTAGCTTAATATACTGTATCGTACAATCAATTCATTATATCTAATTCAGCATGTTGTGTGGGAAAATGTATACAGGACAGCATTTTTTTCTGGATTGTAGCCAAGGGCTGTATGTCTGAATTCAAGGGAGGGAGATTGGGGGAAAAAAGAAGCATGTCAGAGCAGCTATTCCCAACCCCTATAATTATGCCCGATTCTTCTCACAACCAAGAAATTCAAACGAACTCCTTCTCCTAAGCAGCCCAAACCAGCAACAATTCTGTTTTGTTAAATCTGACCGTCAAAAAACGGTCACTGAGTGCACCTGCGCGGAAGGACCGCCAGGGGGCATAAGGCATGCCGAATAGCTTGCAAATCTGTGGTTTCCCATCACGATATTCTCGTGCGTGTGTACGTAGACATACACGTGCACTTTTCATCATACTACGGTGAGATAGAGGCTCTGCAAAAATGGAGGGGGGGGCATTGTTTCTGAGACCTCTTGACTCCCGTCTCATCAGCTGTCCATGCAAGGTATCTTAAGGGGGTAAATATCTACTCCGGAGAAGCGGAATACGGACCAGTATGTCTTACCGTAGCAAATGAACGAACAGCTGCTGGCACCGGGCTTTAAAAACACCCTTCGCCCGGATCCGACCCCAGCGGCTCAGCAAGTCGGAGCGATCTGAGTTGGGGCAGCGGCCAGGGTTAGGGGATCACATGACACCCGGGAGCCCTTAAAGAGGTACCGCGCCTGCGGGGAAGCGCTTCCTCCTTGGCTGGACTGAGTGCGGTGGGGTTGGCGGATCGGGTTTGTGAATGTAGGTTTAAGGAATCAGGAGCCGAGGTGTTCTATCATCCAACATTAGCCTTAAGCAACAGCAAAATATAGTACATTTAAATCAGGATTGCTCTTTGTTTACCAAAGTACAAATACTCATATAAATCTTTTAAACTAGTTTTAAGTACGTATATAAGCAATGTTGGTTTTGTGAGAGTTCTAGCTTTGCAGTTAAGAGGCAAGAAATCTAGTTTCCCTTTAAAAGAATGAAAGCAACGTTATTCTCTCAGCTTTCCTGCAAAAGATAGGAAGCCCTTTAATTTTGGGACAGTCTCATGTAGTTGATGTAGTTATTCTAGCCTACAATTTAAGTTTGTTCTGTAATTGAGTACAGGTAGTCCTTGCTTAGTTATCATTTGAAGTTATGACAGATCCTCCTCCCAGAATCTATTTATGACCCCTTTTTGAAGTAACTGGTGCTCCGGCACCTACCTCTGTTTGTGGTCCTTCATCCTTATTATACTATGGTCTTTCATCCTTATGACCAACTACAAGGATGCTGCAGCATCTGCCCTGCCTATGAAATCACTTGTCCCCTTTGGATGGGATTGACTTGCGGGGTACTGCCTTCCTTTTTATTAGCCCAAATATGATTTTCATTGCTCAGTGTTAAGTTTTAAAAAATACAAGTACAGAGATGTTCTGCAGAACAAATTCTCTTGGCACTGTTATATTTTGTTCTGTGAAACAGTGCACTTTAATGATTCTAGACTAAGAACAGGAAAAGGGAATTAACAATTCCATTTATTTTTTGGCTGTAGGTTTATAGACTACATGGCAGTCACTGATCCTCTCTTCAGCCTGTTCTGAGTGAAGGTTCCTGAAGCCTAAGAAGAAGCAGGAGAGCCGGTTGACTGGATAATAAGTGGAATTAACAAGTTTGTTCTCTCTCTGTCTCTCCTGTGAAAGGGAGAGGGAGACCTTTTTTTGGTGTTTCAATAAACCAGAGGAGAACACAATCCAGCCTCAGTCCAGGAGGAGGGATGTTTTTCCTGCATTAGAAGAAAAAGACATTTTCATAGCACATCACTCATTACAGCAATGATCCTTATTATTTACTTATCGTTTATCAAACTTATGCCCCCATCGTAGGGTGATGATTCTCAATGGTTTACAATGCATTCAGTGGAATAACATTTAAATATTGATGGCAGGGTTAAAACATTTTAATAGAAAAACAAAAAATGGTACAGGAAAAGATGGTTCAATGCCATCTTTACCCCATCAAATGTTTTAAGGTAGAAATGTGGATGGCGAGTTTTATAAAGTTTCAAAAAGATCAGACCATTCTCTCTGCTTTGCTGATTTCTGGTTTACTCTGTTGAGCCAACCTGCTGACAGTCAGACACTTGCTTCCCCATGACTACTAAGTCCATATGGTTTTAACAACAAAAGTAAACTTGGGTGTAAAATCATCTTGCAAGGAGACCATCTTTAGATAGTCAAATTGCAGGCTCACATTGCCCTTGCCCTCAAATGGCTGTATTTGCATGTTCTGTTCATTAATGTTTAAAAGTCTGTCAGCTCAGAAGCCCTTACCTGCACCATTGACTAAAGCATGGGTGTCAAACTTGATCGCATCACGTGATGTATCGTGACGTATCACAATGTTTTTTTTACCTTTGCGGAGCCAGGGTGGGTGTGGCCTGTGTGTGATGCATTTGGCCTGTGGGCCGTGCCAGTTTGACACCCCTGGACTAAAGGTAAAGTCTCTTACCTGGCAGAATAGAGGTATTAGGTGGGTCCTATGTTCATTGTATTTTAACGAGCAGGTAATCGTGCTCAAAATTATCAATTCTCACCATAGCCACAGATAATATCACCCAATCCCAAATACTCATTTGAATCAAGCTCAGTTCCTGATGACTTCATCAACTCGTCCATTTAATTGTCTTGGCAACAATATAGACATTATTTGTCCCTACCTTCTTTTGGATTATTTTCCCAATCAATCCAACAACCATACAATATCTTGGTAATCTCCCTTTCAAGGTCTACCAGAACCAACCCCACAAGTAATCAGCTAAGGCTGAAGTAGATCAGGGTTTTCCAAACAGTATTCTATAAAAACTGGATAGGGTTTCCATAAGAGATTAAAAGTGGTGGGTGGGAATTCACTTGAATACAACTGTGTTTCTCTGAAAAGCCTGGGTCTTATATTTATTTTTGGTCAAAAAGACCCATTAGGGCTTATTTTCGGGGGATGTCTTATTTTTTTACCACAAGGCCCAGCCCGGCTGGCGCCCTGCCCCACAGGTGACTCAGGTTTCCCTCGGTGGGGGAGGAAGGCTTTGGAAACTGCCTTTTCATTTACATTCATCATCAATATTGTAATCCGTCTCCTTATTTTTCAAAAAAATGATTTGTATTTACCATTATTAGCCTCCTTGAACACCAATGGGAAGGCGCGGTGTGAATACTGCGCATGAGCCGTGGAAATACACTCGCACCCTCAAAACTCACGCAGCTTCCTTGCTTGGAGTGCACCACTGCTTTGCAGGTGCATTCTATTTTGTGGCTCAGCTAAACTCTTCAGCTGCGGCAGGCCGCAGTTCCCATCCGCTTAAGGAAGCCTGGGCGATGGAAACCTTAGGCCAGGCTCCTCACAGCTGAAGCAATCAAACTTGCCCAGGGTCAGGTTAGCCGTCATGGGAGGCGTGGCCCAGCCCCATCCTCCAGGTCCACCGCACATGCGGGACGAGCCTCCATGACAGCCAACCTGACCCTGGGCGAGCCGGATTGCTTACAGGGGGAGCCTGTGCGTTGCAGAGGACGACTGCAAAGGGTGCACCCAGATAACTGCAGCTCCTGGAGGCTCCGAGTGCTGTTTTTCGTGCTGCTGTTTTTGGCACCGCATCTGTGTGTGCATCTGCCTTGCTGTTTTCAGCAGTGCTTTGGATCAGCTGCAGCACGCCATGGAGAGGATGGCTGAGGTTTGGGGGATGGTCTATCCCCATTCGTAGCATGGCTGCCGTCCAAACGCCGCACCGCCTCTCGGGAGGGCAGCATTAGCTGCCAATGCAGCGGCGGGGAAGGTGGAAGGCAATCCCTCCCACCAGATCAGCCTGGTGGGGGTGGGGTAGAGTGGAAACCGAGCTGCGCCAAAAACAGCGCTCGGAGCCTCCAGGAGCTGCAGGGATGGATTACAATATTCAGTGCTTTTTTTCTAAAAAAAAAAAAAGTGCCAGAACTCTCACATGTCATACAACCCACCCTGCCTACCCTATAAGGTTCCATCCAAAAAAGGTGCCGGAACTCTGTTCTGGGCGTTCTATGAGAAAAAAAGCCCTGACAATATTAATGATGAAAGTAAATGAAAAGGTAGTTTCCTAAGCCTTCCTCCCCCACCGACGGAAACCTGAGTCGCTTCTCAGAGTGGGACGTCTCGGGATGCCCAGCTTTCTTTCCCGCCCTTCCGCAGAGGAAGAGAAAGTCGGCAAAGCCTGCGGGGCAGTGCAGGCCACCTCCGGAGGCACTTCGGGGTGAGGGTGAGAAAGAAGCTGATGGTTGAGGCCCCGGCCAATCCCCACGCCCACTTGCCCGCTGGATTCCCCAGTCCAGGGCAGGGATACAAAAGAGGCAGCCTCTGCTTGCCTCAGGCCCTGGCTGTCTTAACGTTCAGGCCATCTCACAGTGGCGGCACTGGCAGCAGGCAAGGCGGTGGGGTGGGGAGGCACATGATCCGGCCTGCCAAGAAACCTACTGTGGAATGGAGTGGGCGGGGTCTTAAGTAGGGCTTATTTTGGGGGTAGGGCTTATATTAGGCCCAACCCTAAAAATCAAGCTAGGTCTTATTTTCGGGGAAACAGGGAAGTTTGCTTTTTGATTCTTGGTTCCAGGATTTACTTATTTTTGAGTTAGCAGGTTCTGCACCCTGAAAATGTTTAAGCCCCCCCCCGAGCAGTATTGCTACTTAGGTACAGAAAGTACTAATGTGTTAATGACTTTTCATGTTGCTTTCAGTGAAAACAAAGTGCAATTTAGTTTGATATTAAAGGGCAAAGGTTAAGTTATAGAACGTGGAATAGGGAATTGAAAGATTTTAAAATACAGGCAACATTCCTACCGATGGGTCTTACTGAATTTCCATTACAGAAAATATTAAGAATTAACACCAGTTTGCTATCACAATTCTGCACCTTTGTTGCCAGCCTAATCTCCAATACAGCAATATGCATTCACTCAGCTTCAACATTATAGGCTGAAGATAGGATACTGTGAAATTTCTCTTTTTTATCTACTATATTTTTCTGTTATTTTCCAATCAGAGTATAGGCTGTATGATCACTAACTCATACATTAGGATTAGTGGGGAGGACATGAGAAAAAGATACCCACCAAGCAGGATGTAGAATTAGGACATCTAGACCAGTGGTTCTCAACCTTTTTAATGCCGCGACCCCAACCGGTCGTAAGTCGAGGACTAAACCGGTCGTAAGTCGAGGACTAAACCGATCGTAAGTCGAGGACTACCCAGCCGGTCATAAGTCGAGGACTTTCCCTACCCGGGAGCGCCGCGCATGCGTGGTTCCGCCCCCTGCGCCGGCCGAGGCATAGCTGGCAAGCGGCAGAGACGGAGCAGGCCGACCACCAGCTGGCCCAGCCCAAGGGAGGTAAGGCACCTGCCAGAAAAGGGGAAAAAAATGGCGGACCAAAAAAATGGCGGACAAAAAAAATGGCAGACAGCCTTGCTTGGCGTCCCCCATGAAATGGTCGATCGACCCCAAATGGGGTCCCGACCCACAGGTTGAGAACCACTGATCTAGACCCAGAGGTTGTCTGTGGGGTTTGAGGCCTCCAATCCCTCACCCTATGGATTCAGCCATACTGCTACACTAGCTTGTTACATAAATATTCTATATAGATATAACATTCGTCATATACTTGGGACTTCTTTCAAATGTCTAAGAGTGGAGTGGAGACATTCCTTCACAACTCAATATTTTATCATGATCTAAATAGATGCTATGTGTGTTTTTTGACTGACATCTTTATTATAAACAACTTTAAACAACTGGATTTAATGGACACTATTGGCTATAGCAGTGATGGCGAACCTTTTAGAGACTGAGTGCCCAAACTGCAACCCAAAACCCACTTATGCATCGTCTAGTGCCGGGCGGGTGTGGCCTATTGGGTGGGTGTGGCCCATTGGATGGGCGTGGCTGTGGTGGTAAAGGCAGACTGGGTGGGACTAAAAAGTTCAATCAATTCCAACTTTGCAAGATCTTTTTTTTTCCCGCGAGAAGTTGAAATTGACTGATTGAACCTTTTTTTTTTTTGCACACGGCGGTGGAGGCCTAAAGCGAAAAGGTTTTATAAAACCCAACTGAAGGCCTAGGACTGGGGCGACGGCACGCGTGCCCACAGAGAGGGCTCTGAGTGCCGCCTCTGGCACCCGTGCCATACGTTCGCCACCACTGGGATATAGCCAGAATGATAGCTAGATTTAATGGTGATGTTTAGGAGCAAATATTAACTAAAAAAGACATATTTGTGACCATCAGTACTGCATTGCAAAAAAAAAGTGTGCACTTCTTCCATTTGGACATTAAGAAAACAGCATATTATAAGTGGTAATAATGTTGAACAATAGCCTTTTGGGGTTTAGGATAGATGAAATGCTTGAAAATTGCAACTCAGACAAATAATTCCAGTTGTTCTTTAAAATTTGGTTTAAAGACACGCACTGAAGAATGGCTAAGAGAATGGGAAACCAGCAGCTATCTAGATATTGCCAAATTAAGAGTCAGGGAAGTCAGGATTTGTATACAGCAATATTTAGGACCTAAAAAATATAGCAAGACATAAATCCTGGCACAACGTACTAGTAGTTATACCCCATTGTTAATAATCAAGCATGATTTGTAATGTTTTAAAGGTTAATAAATTATAAAATGGAAAATTATGTTCTGTGAATAGCCAGGATTTTAAAGAATCCTTGCTGTTGCTGTAGCTACAGTCAGTTTTTAAAAGTCTTCACTGTTGTCATAAAATAGCATTCTACAGCTTAATCACAATTTACACTGAGCACAACCAAAGTGGGTAAAGATGTAACAAGTGCAGTTGCACTTTAAGCTTTGTTAATTTTAACCTTAGTTTTTGAGGCTCAATATTGGAAGATAGAAAGTTTGAGGATATATCATCATGGAGAAAATCTATGTTGTTGCAAAGAGTTAACAGCAATTTGATGACACATAATCAAGTTTTGTGACAGCATGTGGTGCTAACCTAACCCAATTGGTTAATAATCCAGTGTACTGCGAGGGCTAATTCAATAACTA